TCTCCTTCTGTTAGCACAGAGGGTCTCGTTATGCAGGTGCCCATTGGAGGCCATCTCAGCATCAGCAACCACGGAGCCACTGAGCTTAAAATCTCTGGAGACAGAAGGAAAAGTGGCTGCAAACCTTCAACCTTGGCCTTGATGGGAGCAGACTCCAGGCTCCTCAGGGACGAGTTACAGAGTGTCCCTGGGAGATGGCTCTGAAAGGTATTGGGCTCGGCTCTTGTCTTGGGGATAGTTTTTATCCCAGAGCCAGGTTGGTTTTGGTTTGTGTCTCGAGTTGTCACTGTTTCTCGACCCAGTGTCTCAGAAATATCACAATGTGTGAAGAGCGGCCCAGGATTCAGTGTGGGATTGGGGGTTAGGGGCTGCTTTTCCTTCCAGCAGGGCTGATCAACACAGGCATGATGCTATACAATTGGTCTGACAGGAGATCTTCTTGTCCTATATTTTTTGCATTTTTTCTTCTGTTTTTTTTTCTTGCTTAGCACTGTGACCAGGGCTTGCCAACTTACTTCTCTGCTCCTCTGCTGCTTGGGAGCCCAGAGCTGGGAGCACCCCCCAGCCCCACCAGGCCCGAGCTCAGGACCAGCCCTTGCCAGTGAGCCGTGCAAAGGAGCGCTCCCCCAGCCAGCCCCCCCCCTCCTTTGGGGTGTTTTGCTGCACTCCAATTCGCCATCCCAGGTCTGCAGTGGTGCTGAGTGGCCACAGGTGCTCCCTGTGGGCTGTGCAGGGGAAGCCAACTCTCCTCTCCCCTGTGCCAAAGCCGCCATTGCCAGCGCAGAGGCTCCACAGCGCCCCCTGCAGGCGTGGAGGAATCATCGCACCCGCCCTGCCTGGCCAGGAGCCACCAGCGCCCCTGCTGGCTGTGCCTGGAACTGCACCAAGGGCAGCCACCTGACAGGTGAGATAAGGCTGGGATGGTGTACAAAATGGAAAGACAGAAACTTCCAGAGGTACTGATGGGCTTGATTTGCAGCCTTGGAAGAAGCTTGCATTGATGTAAAAATAAAAGTATGCAGTAAGCAAAAAAAATTATAAACTTATGCTTCTATAGTTGTAAGTAAGGATATGACTTAAGTAAATAAGAAACTGTATTGGGTAGGATGGAGAAGGACTTTGTAGTGTAGTGATGTAACTGTATATGCTAAGCTAAGAGTTTAGATATTAGAAGTATATGTGTGTACGTGTAATAGTAGACCATTGGATAAAAGTACACGCAGTGAGGCAGAATTAAGTAAAGGTGATAGGTAAGAAAAACAAAATGAAATTCTCAGCAACTTTCCATTGGATTACAATGTTATATATTGCCTTATAATGGAGAAACCTGTGACCACTCTGAGCTATGGCTGAATTCTTGCCCCTCTAAAATCTCACGGCCTTGGAGGCTGATGTCTATCTGAGTAATAAATCGATTTTAGACCAAGAGTAGTCCCATCCCTGCATTAAAGCAATGGTAATAGGATGTGGTTTCTGGTTTTGTTTGTTGCTGCTGCTGTTGTTGTTTGTTTCTCTTGATATATATGGGTATTTATACTTTGGTAAATACCTGCTATGCCTTTTCCTGTTCCTTTGCCTGGTAGCCCCATAATTTCAAAGTTACAATAATATGGAGAAAAGGGGATTGGATTCTCCATTCCGAGAAGGTACCTGCCTTCCTTGGCAGACACCTGTCTTATAAACCAGTACAGGTCCATCACTGCTGGTTGCTTTATATGGAAAAACCCCCAAAGGACATGGCAGTCATGGGTCACAGCCACTACGGACTCAAGAAGCAAAATCCTGCTCATCTTACCCTCAATTCCCTTTCACAACACATTAACCCATGGAGTTGATCGAGGACAGCTCAGTTAATCTGAGCTTTTTGGATTACAGTCAAGCTTTCCATCTTGCCTACCCCAGCCTCCCGGTGTGTCCCTTCCAACTCAGGCCATTCCATCATTCCATGATTCTCACCTTAATGGACCTGCAGCTTTCACTGGACACCTGCCTTTAAACCTTGGGGGTATTTGACACTGTCATACAACCCTGAAAATCGTCCCAGTCTCAGTTCACTTCGATACAGGACACATTTATTCCTTGTAAAAAATCCTTCTGAGCATTCAGCCTCCATCTCACCAAGGCACAACACTCTTACCAGAACAGGAATGGATCCCAGGGTCTTGGACTCAGCTAGAGATCTGAGGGCTCCAGCCCCAACCAGAGCACTCAGTGGCAGCTTTCCCTCAGCAATCCCTGCA